TCTTTTTTATTAGGTATGTAAAAAAAAGAGACAATTAATGGGTATTATCTACACAAAACACCAGCAAAAATATGAATGTTTAATGAGAATCTATAAATTGGTAAAAAAGTCTTGTTTTTTTAACAAGCAAAATTAAAATTTCATGCTGTATGATATTAATGATATATTAGAATGGTGATGTTTCTACTTACAAGTACATGCTTGTATGATATTCATGATATACTAGAATGGTGATGTTCCTACATACAAGTACATGCTTGTATGATATTAATGATATATTAGAATGGTGATGTTCCTACATACAAGTACATGCTTGTATGATATTAATGATATATTAGAATGGTGATGTTTCTACGTACAAGTACATGCTTGTATGATATTAATGATATATTAGAATGGTGATGTTCCTAAATACAAGTACATGCTTGTATGATATTAATGATATATTAGAATGGTGATGTTCCTACATACAAGGACATGTTTGTATGATATTAATGATATATTAGAATGGTGATGTTCCTACATACAAGTACATGCTTGTATGATATTAATGATATACTAGAATGGTGATGTTCCTACATACAAGTACATGCTTGGACATGCTTGTATGATATTAATGATATACTAGAATGGTGATGTTCCTACATACAAGTACATTATGATATTAATGATATATTAGAATGGTGATGTTCTAGTTGTACTTGTATGTAGGAACATCACCATTTTATGATATTAATGATATATTAGAATGGTGATGTTCCTACATACAAGTACATTATGATATTAATGATATATTAGAATGGTGATGTTCCTACATACAAGTACATTATGATATTCATGATATACTAGAATGGTGATGTTTCTACATACAAGTATAGGAAGAATTTTTAAAAGAAACTGAAAATGTAATCAGTTATTTTTTTTGTCATACAGTACTCGCATTAAAAATCAGTTGGAGTATGGTTTACGTACATGCATCAATCCATTCTGTACCCAAGCCAAAACAATCGTCCTGCTACATCCTCTCTTTCAGGATTTGTTAATAGTTTTCTTTTACGTTTAATTATATATATTTCCTATAACCAACAGAAAGCCAAGGTTTTCACCTATCAAATGATGTATTGTATAACATTGTGTTCTGAACAGATAAGCATCAATTTCACTTATAATACATGGTTCGTTCCCGTGGGAAGATTGATGACTAGCTTGGATGACTTTATAACAGCTCTTTTCGCATAGTTAGAAAGCCAGAAAAATGTTTATTGTTAGAGAAAATTGTCTGTTTTTTCATGTTATTAGTCCATGTTTTTTGGTGCATTATTTAATTAAATAAAAATTATTCAATGCACTACAAACATTAGGTTAAAAATGAATAAAAACCTTATAACCTGAGCACTTTAAAAAGGTGGACCTTTCTTCTTCAGGGATAAACTGGTTTTAAAAAAGTAGGGTTAACTGTCATCAATAGTCGCGAGCAAAAAAAAAGAATACTCAGGTAAGTACTTTATTTCTTTTTATGTTTATTCTATATTTATTATTATAAAAGTAACTAAAATGAAAAAATAGAGATATCTTTAAGTTTGTTAAAGTTACATTCGGTAAAATAATCAATAATAATAATATAATAAAAAATATTTCATGAGCACATACATGAGCAGCTTGTGGGTAACGTAATTCAATAGTGTAACATGAGCTGCAGATTCCCCAAGTGATTTACAACTTATAATGGCACGAATAGTAGTTAGACACAGTTCAAATGGCAATAAAACAATAACATTTAATTATAAATAGATGTATGCTGTTAAAAGTTTAAATTGACTTAGGATAACCGAATGTAGATTCACTACATTTAAAGTCATTCTAGAAAGAAAAGGAGGGTAATTTAGATTTGTTTAGATTTTTTTTTGTGGTTATAAGATCAGTCAAGTTGACCAGCCTTGTATAGAGTTAGAATAGAGAAAATAACAGATAAAATATAAAGTTTTACTGAAAACAAACAGCTGAAATGCATTAAGGAGGTTTTAGAGATTACACAAATGAAATTTGAAATTTTTGAGATGAAAAAAAGTATTATTAATCTTAATATGAAAATCACTTTGTACATGAACTATTCAAAATAAATACTTGATATATTCAAGAACAAATATTTTTTTTTAGCAGTACTAAACTAGTCAATATAGATTAGGAGAATGTCTGAAAGTTATGTTTACCCTAGTCTAAGTTGCAAGTGCAAGATTGAAAGGTGTAATGTTTTACTGAACTTCAAACTTTGTGGATGAAGAAAAGATGGGGTTTCTGTTGAAGTTAAAATGATAAGAAAGAAAAGCTACCTACAAATGTTAGATAACAATCAAAACAGGACAAAGAAACTGAAAGCAGAAGGAATAGTAAGAATAAAATACTTTGTTCTTAGAGATTGACAGATTTTACACATAACTGATCAGACCTTAACCAAAGAAATCCTCAAAAAGTAGTTGAAAAACACTTAAGATTGTTTCTACATGTTGAAAACCATTCTTGCAGTGAAATCCAAACCAAAATGTTGCTTGTCTTAGGAAGACTTTTTATCAACACAAAAACAACATTTTGGTAGTTTCATTGAAATTTCTGAAGCAAATGATCAAACCCTGGAATAGAAAGTAGTCTCAAATTCAAAGATGCCACCAAAACATGTTAACCTCTGTATGATCAACTCACAGTTTTAAGATTAAAATTAAATTTCGTAAAATATTAATTACATACCTTAATTTTTGTGACATTAGGATCAAAGCATTCACTGAATCTGATACTGAATCCAACCTCTTGGCCACAAATAACTCCTTTTTCTTCAGCCACTCTGTTAGAAAGCTTAAAAAAAAACATATTACTATTTCTTGATATTCAAGCTTCTGACAATTTATTATCATTAGCACATCAGCAATATCACATACATTAAAATAATTCTTAATCCCAACTTATATTTTGTAACTTTACATATTCAAATTTCAATGAATGCTAAGATACAAAGAAAAAACAATATTTGCTACTACATCAACTTCCATTGGCCAGTCTTTAGTGGCAGGATGAATGAAAACACCAACTTTTTTATTTACTAGAATTTAAATTGTTTTATTTCTCACTTTCAAGTAGTTTTTATAAATTTACCATTTCTATAATATTACTATCTGTCTTAAAAGGTTTTTTAATTTTTTTTTCAAAATTGCAGACACGCCTATTAAATAGATTTTCCGTCATGGAAAACATATTGATAACATTACTGGTAACAAGTGTAACAGTGAGCATTTTGGTATTTTGTTTAGCACACCAGCAACCATTTCTGACCAAATTTTCTATAAAGAATTCTCTAAAAAAAAAAGTTTAGCCTATGAACTATAGAGGTTTGTTTATTAGTTCAGATGGTCTTAAACTTAACCCTAATAACCCTAACACTCAAATCTGCATCCCATGCATAATGATGATAAGTGGGTTACATGTACCTTTCCTTGATTTCAGGCATGCATATAATGATCTGTATCATCACTAAAACAGGCAAATTTAACAATTATATGAACAGAATATAGTCTCTTTCACAGCTTTCCTGCATAAAACAACTGTGATACAAAATACATCCTTCATGAATATAGTGTCTTTCAGGGCTTTCCAGCATAAAACTGTGTGAAAAAAAACAACCTAGGTAAATAGTCTCTTTCACAGCTTTCCTGCATAAAACAATTGTGTGATATAAACCATATCCTTGGTGAATATAGTCTTTCAGGGCTTTCCAGCATAAAAACTATGTGAAAAAAACATCCTTGGTAAATATAGTGTCTTTCACAGCTTTCCTGCATAAAACAACCATGATACAAAATACATCCTTCATGAATACAGTGTCTTTCAGGGCTTTCCAGCATAAAACTGTATGAAAAAAAACAACATAGGTAAATAGTCTCTTTCACAGCTTTCCTGCATAAAACAACCGTGATACAAAATACATCCTTCATGAATATAGTGTCTTTCAGGGCTTTCCAGCATAAAAACTGTGAAAAAAACACCCTTGATGAATATAGTGTCTTTCACAGCTTTTCTGCATAAAACAACCGTGATACAAAATACATCCTTCATGAATATAGTGTCTTTCACAGCTTTCCTGCATAAAACAACCGTGATACAAAATACATCCTTCATGAATATAGTGTCTTTCAGGGCTTTCCACCATAAAAACTGTGAAAAAAACACCCTTGATAAATATAGTCTCTTTCACAGCTTTTCTGCATAAAACAACCGTGATACAAAATACATCCTTCATGAATATAGTGTCTTTCAGGGCTTTCCAGCATAAAACTGTGTGAAAAAAAAACCCTTGGTAAATATAGTGTCTTTTAAGGCTTTCTTGCATAAATCTGTGTGAAACAAACCACATCCTTTATGAATATAGTGACTTTCAAGGATTTCCTGCATAAAAAACTGTGTGAAACAAACCATATCCTTGGTGAATAAAGACTATCAGGGCTTTTGTGCATAAAACAATTGTGTGATATAAACCATATCCTTCATGAGTATAGTGTCTTAAGAAGTTCCAGCATAAAACTACTGTGTGAAACAAACCATATCCTTGGTGAATATAGTCTTTCAGGGCTTTTGTGCATAAAACTACTGTGTGAAACAAACCATATCCTTGGTGAATATAGTCTTTCAGGGCTTTCGTGCATAAAACTACTGTGTGAAACAAACCATATCCTTGATGAATATAGTCTTTCAGAGCTTTCGTGCATAAAACAGTTGTGTGATATAAACCATATCCTTCATGAATATAGTGTCTTAAGAAGTTCCAGCATAAAACTACTGTGTGAAACAAACCATATCCTTGGTGAATAATCTTTCAGGGCTTTCGTGCATAAAACAATTGTGTGAAATAAACCATATCCTTCATGAGTATGGTGTCTTAAGCAGTTTGATACCAAACTTATTGACATAAATTTATGAAATAGTAGTTCAATAAAAATTTTGAATGCGAGTCAACAAACACGATGACATGGCCTTTGACCCGTGACCCATCTGAAAAGGGGTTAAATGACTTTGTAAGGCATCTTTTATCAGACTTTCTAAAACTTTTCCCATAACTGATGTAAGACTAATAGGCCTCTAATTACTGAAACAATTGTTATTAGCTCCTTTGAAAAGAGGAGTTACATTAGCTAACTTCCAATCCAGGAAAATCAATTTTGTATATTTAGTCTACAATAAATAAGTGGTGTAGAACAGTGGTTTCTAACCTTTTATCAACTGAGGACCAGCTAGTTACAATCTCCAAATTTCATAGATTGCTTTTTTCAATATTAAATCTTTAAAGTGCTATTCAAGGACTTACAAAAAAACAGTAGCAGGTGGCTCACATATTCAATCCTTAACCTCATTCAAAACTCTTGGGAAAATATTATCTGGCCCAGGAGCCTTATCGTTCTTTAAGCTTCCCAATTTTTTCATAATAAGCTCAGAATTAACAAAGCCATCTTGTTTCCATCTATCAACTGTCCAAAATGTGGAACAGATCTTAAATCTTTGTTAGCAAAAACTGAAGAAAAAGCAAAATTTAATAACCCAGCTTTCTCATAATCATCAGATACGAGCCTTCCTTTATCATCCCTCAAGGGTCCTACCCCCCATCTTAGCATTTTGTTTACCCTTAATGTACTTTAAAAAATTCTTACAGTTAATTTTTACATTTTCAGCCAAAATTTTTTCATACATCCTTTTTGATGTCCTAATTTGCTGTTTCACCAACTTTCTTGATCTTCTATAATCTTTTAAATCTCCCACCATACCAGTCAATTTAAATTTCTTAAATTTGTGATGCTTTAATTTTATCTCTTTGTAAGCCAACCTGGTTTTTGACTTGCAGCCACCCTTTTCTCTCTATAAGAAACAGAGATATGGTTAACATATTTCATCCCTAGTACATACAGAGGTAAGTTCATATATTCTATCTACAATACACAGAGTTAGGTTAACATGTTTCATCCCTATAACATACAGAGGTAAGTTCACATATTCTATCTACAATACATAGAGTTAGGTTAACATGTTTCATCCCTAAAACATACAGAGGTAAGTTCACATATTCTATCTACAATACATAGAGTTAGGTTAACATGTTTCATCCCTAAAACATACA